GTGAGAGCAAAACCGTTGATGTTATATATACTGATTTCAGTAAAGCATTTGACAAAGTGTGCCACTCGTTGCTCATCTATAAACTTGATCTTCTTGGTCTTCCACCTAATTTTCTACGTTGGATCTCTTCATACCTCTATGATAGATCACAAAGGGTATTGTTTAAAAATACTATCTCTGACGTCATTGATGTTACTTCAGGAGTCCCTCAGGGTAGCCACCTAGGCCCGATTCTGTTCTTGCTTTTTATAAACGATATTTCTACAGATATAAAATTCTCCAAAATTTTAATGTATGCAGATGATGTAAAACTTTATAAATCGTACGTTTCAATTGAATTTGCTACAATCAGACTTAAACAGCATGGCTTACTGGTGTAAAGTAAATCTTATGCCTCTAAATCTTAAGAAATGTAAAGTAATGTGCTTCTCGCGAAGAGCTCTTCTGCCAGTTTCTTATATAATAGGTAACCATAACCTGGAACAGGTATACAATTTTGTGGACCTTGGTATCACAATGGATCCTAAGCTTAATTTTAATCTTCACATTAATGTGACAGTCAACAAGGCTAAAGGTGTACTTGCATTTGTGAAACGATGGTCAAAAGAATTTAGTGACCCTTATATCACTAAAACCCTGTTTACAACATTAGTTAGGCCGATTCTGGAATACGGCTCGGTGGTTTGGAATCCAAGGTATCAAATTTACTCAGACAAGATAGAATCAATTCAAAAACAATTTCTACTTTTTGCTTTAAGAAATTTCCGATGGGATTCTCAATATAGTCTTCCACCTTATACGAGTCGCTTAAAACTTATTAACCTTCCTACACTTGCCAGTCGCAGGGAAATGCTTGGTATAATTTTTATGGTTAAATTACTGACAGGCTCAATTTCAAGTCCGTCTCTTCTGGCTGATGTAAGCTTTAATGTTCCCTCACGCGTATCAAGACACTTTTGTCCCATATTTCTGAAAGCTTGTAAAACCAATTTTGAATTGCACGACCCACTCCGTTGCTTATGCCAGGATTTTAACTCTCATTCCAGCACGTTTGATATATCAGATCCGCTTTTCAGCATTAAGAAAGCGATACTCTCCTCTCTCAATAAGTGAATTATTGACATATATACATAAAATCAGCTGATGAATTTAGTTCTGTAGCTGAACAGTTTTAGATCTCGACACTTAACAAACTCCTGCCTATCGTGACTCGGCACCAAAAAAATTTAAAATATTGGTTCCGTACGTCATGCGGACTGCGCCCCTCGTGCGGATGGGCGGGAATGGAGGGTAAAAACCGTTGGGATATTATTATTATTATTATTATATATATGTATATACTTCAACTGAATTGTGATATTTAATTTTATTTTAAAACTAATAATGAATTAAATTTGTGCAATTTTTTATGTTTGCTATATGTAAAACAATTTTTAATTTTCTTTATATATTGCATGCTTTACTTTTAATTATTTTTAAGTTAAGTTGTAAAGGTGAAAATAAGCCTCCTGGGGAACCGAGCCCTTTAAAAAACGCGAATAAAAGCATACCTCACAGGTGGTGTGGAACAAGAACAAATATAAATGGAATAATTTTCGAAATCATGAAATGGTTATTGGTATTTTCCATCTCAAAGGTGATGATTAATTTGAACGTTATTTAAGTTGCCTTTACACGGTCGATTTTTGTCGTTTAACCAAAATCTACCCGTGTAAATTGCAATTCAACCGTAAAATGTAAGCGTTTGGCTAGTCGATATCTCAGTCAATTTTCCAATCGACAGAAATCGACCCGTGTAAAGGCAACTTCAGGAATTTTTTAATTTTCTTTTTTTTTTGCTTGGGAACAATTTCTTTAAGCCATCTTGCGCAGCAATTTGTTGATCTTATCCTCACGGCTACTGAAATCACCAACCTCAACGTAGCGATTAGCCTTCTTGCGCCAGCCTCGGGTTGTTGGGGGCTTTTTTGCAGTGGATTCCAACAGTGAATATATCGTGCGCTTTGCGAAATTTGCGTTCGATCACAAAGCTGTCAGAGATTGGGACACGTTGATGGTTGTGCTTGACAATTCCACGTTTGTACATCAAATCACGAACTGATTTAATATTTGGATAACCCCATATAGGGTTCGGCATACGTAGCATATTAATGGTTGCCTTGTTCAATTTGATGAACAAACCGTGGTTAATGTGGCGAAAACGGAACAACAGTAAAACTTTACCCACTTTTGGTGCAACTTTGTTGATACCGCGGATACGGATCACAAAAGCCAATTTGGATTTTTCAGGCCCGTAGAATTGGCCGCGTTTCTTTTCCACACAGCGCCCCTCCATCTCACGGCGTCCATCACGGAGTTTTCTTGTTTGATATTTCTCAGCATGCACCAAGTTTTCACGTTTACGGAGTGCAATCACAGCAGAGCGCTTAAGTTTACGTTCGATCAGGGTAGCAATTTGCTGACCTGCTCTTGCTGAACTTCAGCTTCGACTCGNACATAAATTTACATTAAACAATAGAATTCGCAAAAATTAGCAAATAAAATACTCGCTTTGTTTTGTTTTGTTGTCAAATTTCTGAGAAATGTGAATTCACCACGATGCGATACAGAAAGAACAAGGACCATTGATGTTATTTTAAGTAAATCTATTATTCAGTGGCAAGGCGCAGAGCGTTCGGGGCAGCAATATTAATTTGTATCAAATATAACATTAAACGGTGGTTCTAATACATTCTTTGTTATTATTAACCAGAGTACATACATTATATGGTATTTCTTTCAAAAATTAATATACTATATGAACTTTTTTTCAAATATTTCTTAAGTTTCTTTCATGAGTGCTGAAAAGCAACCATGAGTGTAAGAAATTGTGTGCTACCTAAAATCTCACCTCTGGAAACTTTATCCACATAAAGGACTTCACCACAGTTTTTTTACTGGATATACTGAGGTTTCTTGTATGAAAAAATGCCTTGCGAGAAATATTACATGCTTGAAAATGCTTTTGGTGACATGCAATGCCTTTTGTGTTATAAGTCATTTGAAAAATAAATAATATACTATTCAAAGACATTTTAACTCTTTTCATAAGGAAACATTTTGATGAAGAAGAAATTCAACGACTTTTTAATGAAAAAAGTTAATTTTTTTTCAAAGAATTAAAGGGTGGTTAATAAAGGAAATATGTGTGCGATTAAAAGACATTTTTAATCATTTCATAATGACATGGAAAATTTTGATGAACATGAATTTTAATTTTTTATTTATTTTATTTTATTTTCAATATTTGACGTGGGTGAACTCAAATGAATTTTGAAATTTTTTATTTGAGTTTTGCTTCAATATTTTCATAACTCAAAAAACTAAAAGCTCGAGAAAACCAGTTTGAAAATTTTGAATTTACATATACTCTCAAGGGAAAAATTAATAGATATTAGCTTTAACATTTGTTTCCGTGAGTTTACATACTATGCGCGGATGATCATTTTTCGGGTGATTTTTTTTCGGGCGAAACTTAGGATACGGCTGATTTTGTTTTAGTGAGCTACTGGTAATCGTTACAGCTATTAGATTTTTACACATCATAAGAAAGAGCTAATGTTCATTCTTGCATACGTAACCTGATTTTTGCTTTTTTTGGGATTATGATACTTGTATAGTAAATGCGCGTTGCACATATATGTACATATGTATGTGTTAAATATATGTATTTATATGTTTTTATTGAAGACTGATAAGTTTAAATTTTTTTTCACTTATCGTAATTTCCTACTGGGTTGCTCATGCGGAGCAGTTCTCTTGTTCTCACCAACACAGTCACAGTTTAACTTTTGCCGACCACTGCTTTAAAGCTCTTCCACAATTGTGGTATGAAGCCCCGACCACTGCTTTAAAGTCAATTTTGATGGGAATGAAACTTTGGTGACAACATGCACGAGCAAAAGGAATAAGAAAGAAAAAAGCAAAAGCTGAGTTGCCAGAAATGGGGAAAATAGCATCCGATATTTCAGATATCGAAACAAAATATCGTATCGATACCGTATCGCAACTTTTGATATCGATATAAAATAACCGATATTCTCAACAACGATATTGATATATTGAATATCGTATTGGTATCGCGCGTCCCTAGCAGTTAAACAAAAGAAAATGAAGTACATTTGTACAAAGCGCAGCTGCAACGACGTACTTGTGTGCATGCATATGTAGGTAATACCATGTTCTGACCGACAACGAAAACACTTTGAAAACGAGTTTTGGAATTGTGGGCTGAAGGCTGTTCACACCGGCTGTTAGTGTTTTCGTTGACATTTCTTACATCCTCTCATTGCAGTTTTGCTACACAAAAACAAAACCAAAATGCTTTTCCCACATTTTCTTTTCATTAGCAACCTCTTACTTTCATTCTTATTTTACTTTGGCCAGCCAATTAACAATAAATACGAAATAGCGTACTAAAGATGATAAAATATGACTTCCACTTCGATAAATAATCGAAAAAAAAAATAGTGAAGACACCGATTGGATCGAGTGGAACGTGAGTTTTCAAGTGGTTTTCAGCGAAAACTGGTTTTCGTTTGACAGATTTTACATGGACGAAAACACATGTTTTAGGTCGAAAACTAGTTTTAGCAACGAAAACATGTTTTCGATGTCGGTCAGAACATGGTATAAAAAAGGAAAGTGCAGTTGAAATATGTATATACATATGTGCAACATACAATCAGCATGTCGTGGGGTGCTTAACGCGTTTTGGAAATCAGTTTTTCTTTTCGTTTAGGTACGATATGTGAAACATATGTACAATTAGCATGCATACGGCACAATATGTAGTTACATTTCGCCGTTTAAAGTACAAAACCGCGAATCGTGGTTCTGCAAAACCGCGTAACTGACATTTTTTTGCCAAAAATTGGATTAGCTAACAATACTTTAAACTTTAAACGACTTGCTTATGGCCATAGTAGATAGACGTTTCAATGAAAAGTGTTTATGTTTTTTGGTTTTGTTGCGATTTATTTTTTATTATACATTATTTTTTATCAAATTTTATTTTTATATTTTCTCTGCAGGTCGTGGAATACAGATAGTACAAGCCAGCGGAGATTATATATATAAATTTTACCTATGTTGTAAATTAAATATTTTATGTTTCTTTTATTTACGTTTCATCATTTCCTGTAATAGATTTAAGAAATATTTGTTAGCAGTTCACCCTACGTCTTTGCAACCCTGTGCTTGACGTTTTACTCTCGCCGTTGTTTGCTGTAGCCGTTAGTTCGTTGCTATAAGTCTATAAATTGGCTCATCTCTAAAAACGGGAAACATTCTACAATTTTCTTAAGCGGCGCAAGCATAGGGAGCGCAAACTGAGAAATAAACGTTTGTAATAAATTCATATCATTCGATTGAAATAAATAGTTTAAATTTCTAGCTTCCTTTCAAATACTGCGTGGCGACATCTTTATTTCTCAGGTTTAATATCGGGAATCGACACGATTCCACTTGGCCGCCGCTATTAAGTCACAAGAAAGAATTTCCGAAGCCGCCCTTTTCATATCAGTAATCGAAGAAATTCCACTTAGCTGCCCACATTAGGATTGAACTTTGCAATCCTTTAGAAGCCGCCATCGTTAAAATTGCAAAACGCCAATAATTCGCGACCAATTAAAATGCAGCGTTCGCCAGTACGCCGTAGTCCACGTCTTCAATCGGAGGACCTTCACAAACACAGGAGCCATCGCCAAAGTTACTGAAGCATGCAACAAAACCACTGAAATACCAGCCAGTGCTATCATGATGATCCCCACAGTCTCGGCAGTAGTAGCAGAGGCATCAATCGCCAATGCATCCCAAAGCCTCACTGCCGCCGCAGTCACTACAACGGTACCATTCCGCACTCCAGCTGCACCAGATGACATCAGAAGCGTAGTGCACTGTACATATACTAGCGCTCAGGCCAAGGCTCGGCCCTTGCAACATCGCCACGCCAACAGCAACCAACACAGCTATACCAATTCTTGCAAGTGCGCCGACAACTATTAACGCCACCAAGGAGAGCATGCTTTTTCTGATGCAAAGACAAATCGCTAACCTAGAACTGCAGCTGAAACATGTACAAGCCAGGATAGCAGAGAGTGAACACCAACACCAAAGACTGGAGCCCTCCGCCATAACATCATCTGCCTCGTCGTATTCCAGACAATTAGATGCAAAGGATTTCGCTGTAGCGAATAACGCTTCTTCCACCTTTTCGCATAACGGTCACTCAAGTCACGTAGTCACACGACATAACAGGACATCAGGCATGCAAAGTTACATCGGAACGATAGCTAATTCGTTAAATTGACTACAATATACCGTCCCGCCAATAAAAAAGCAAAGCCATATGCATATGGCGAGCGCAAATCCGTTATCAAGCGTAATTAGTCCTACAATCACACCGCACTCTGCATATAGCCAAACGATAAGTAACACCCCTCAGAGCGTCCTTCAACCTCCGCGAAAGCTCATGGACCTGCCAGAATTTTCTGGGCAACCCGAAGATTGGCCAGTGTTTTACGCTGCATACACTGAGTCAACAATAGCATACAACTATTCCAACTTCGAAAACAACCAACGCCTGAACAACTGCCTAAAGGGTAGTGCGAGGGAGAGCGTCAAGTCCCTCTTGATCCATCCTAATAATGTTGGAGCTATAGTCGAGCAGTTACGTGTCCGCTTTGGACGTCCAGAATAACTTGTAAGGAACCAGCTGAAAGCCGTACGAGACATGCCATTTGTTTCCGAAGCAGCTATTGGAAAGATAGTGCCATATGCTACTGCCACAAAAACTCTTACCGTGTTCCTACAGTCCATCGGGGAAGAAAAGCACCTGGTCAATCCAACATTATTGGAGGAACTAGTGAATAAATTACCGCTTAGTAAACGCCTTGAGTGGGCAAGGCAGTCTGCCACGATTCAGCCGTATCCTACTATCATTAACTTCAGTGATTGGTTATCGGAGATCGCCAGTTTTGTCCAAATAGTGCAAGATAGTGAATTCCGTGAACCCAGATGTCGTGCAGTGTTGCACACTAATGGAGAACGCTTGATAAAATGCATCATGTGCCATGGTTTACACAAGGTGTCCGAATGCAAGAAATTCTCAGATGCCACCGTCGCCGAAAGATGGAAGCAATCCAAACGTCTTCGACTATGCTTCAGTTGCTTGAACGCAGGTCATGCCACGCGTGATTGCCATCACCGTAAGCAATGTATGGTTCATGGTTGCCAACGGCACCACCACCGCCTATTACACGAAGGAAACACCAGTCCATTAGAACCCGTTGGTCCAGATTCATCGGGTCAGCACTGCAGTCCTCAGTTGTTCAGCACAAGCTTCCCGTCGTTTATGGATTCGGGTGGTTCCAGTGACTCTTTATGGACCGAGCAAGCATGTGAACTCATATGCACTATTAGACGAAGGATCGTCATTAACGATGATGGATAAATCGCTCCTAGAGGAATTGGGATTGCATGGTCAAACGCGTGATGTTGATATTCAGTGGTTTGGCGGAAATGCTGTGAAAGAGCAAGTAGCAGTATTCAACCTGTAAGAAGCGCCACTTTCTTCGCAACGTCCACGAGGTCGACAAACTTGACTTACCAATGCAGAGCCTCAACGAAAGTGACATCCGCAACGCCACCAGATATCGACACAAAATACCAGTGCAGCCTTACGAGAACGTAGTGCCAAAAATATTGATCGGCTTAGATCATTGCCATCTAGGCTTGCCCAGTAAAACTATGCCGTCACCTTTACTGATTTAGGTTGCGTCGTGTTCGGTCCATGCGGTATTTCTCCGCATCAGTCCAACGTGCCTCCATATCAGCAATGCTTTCGATCACCAGATCCATAACATGGTAGCCGAGTATTTTAGCATTAAGTCATTCGGGTTGAAAGCAGCTCCGCCTGTCGAGAGCGCGGCCGATCAACACGCGAAGAGAATACTTGAAGAAACTACTATGAAAGTTGATGGACGATTTCAGACCGGGTTGTTGTGGAGATGTGACAACATCAAACTGCCCGAAAGCTACAACATGGCTCTCCAACGCTTAGTCGGTATCGAACGCAAAATTGAGCGAAATAGGAACTTCGGTACAGAGTACCGCAACATCGTTAAAATTTACATTAACAAAAAATACGCCCGCAAGCTAGAACCGCGTGAAGTCGTAAAATTTAATGAAAGGACCTTCCGCATTTCGCCGTGGCTAACCCACGTAAGTCCGGAAAGTTACGACTTGTCTTCGACGCAGCGGCTACCACTGATGGAGTATCTTTGAACTCACAACTGCTTAAAGGACCGCAGCAATATCGACCATTAGTATCGGTCCTATTTCATTTCAGAGGGGGCGCATTTGCGGTTTGCGCGGACATCCAGGAAATGTACCATCAAGTCCTAATCCATCCAGAAGACAGATGTGCTCAGAGATTTTTGTGGCGTGTTGGTGACCGCGGGAAGGCGCCGGAAGTCTTCGAAATGACTGCGATGACGTTTGGCGCAGCATGTTCGCCATATGCAGTTCACTACGTGAAAGTTAAAAACGCCTTAGAACATCGCACCCATGATCCGCGAGCCATCAAAGCCATCACCGAATACCACTACGTGGACGATTACGTGGACAGTTTCAATGCTGAAACACAAGCTGTACAGATAGCCCAACAAGTCCGAGACATACACAAGGATGCTGGGTTCAACCTGCGAAAGTTTACGTCGAACTCTACAAAAGTCGCCGAAGCACTAGGTGGTGTGAAGAAAGCATTACCAATCTTATCTAAAGAAGGTGCAGAATCTGAGAAGGTCTTGGGAATGTTATGGCAACCGCCGGATGATAATTTCGCATACCGGTTGGAATTTTATAGAGTCGATTCGTCAGTGATCGAAGGCAAGCGCATTCCCACCAAAAGAGAATTATTGAGCATAGTAATGTCAATATTCGACCCGTTGGGATTCCTCAGCCACTTTACTATCTCCGCAAAGTTGGTGTTACGCGAGCTCTGGAAGCGAAGTATTGGTTGGGACGAACCAGTTCTCAACGAAGTCAATGCTATGTGGAGCGTCTTTCGTAAGCAATTGCTGACAGTTGTTGAGTGCAGAGTCCCGCGCCACTATTTTCAAATGGGTCCATCTAGGAAACTACAGCTGCACGTATTTGTAGACTCCAGCGAGAACGCATTCAGCGCAGCAGCTTACTGGAGATCGGAGAATATGAATCACATCATCGAGGTGTCGCTTGTCTATGCCAAGACTAGGAGCGCACCCATTAAGCCGCTCACTATTCCCCGACTCGAGCTACAAGCAGCTGTGTTAGGAACTCGCATGATGAATACAATAATAAGTGAACATAGCGTTCGAGCCAACCGATGTGTTATGTGGAGTGATTCAAGAACGGTTCTTAAGTGGTTATCTAGCAAACACCGCCGCTATAAACCGTTCGTGGCACACAGGATAGCGGAAATTCTCGATGTCAGTAAGCCGTCCGATTGGAGATGGGTTCCGACGAACCAAAACGTGGCTGACGAGGCAACGCGACCCAACAAGACAATAAATCTCAGTCCTTCGTCCCGCTGGTTCACTGGACCTGAGTTTCTATACAATAACGAGCAAATCTGGCCAAAGGACGCTGACGTCGCTGATGTAGCTGAAGATGACGAGGAAGAGATTCGCACAAAATTTGCCTTTATTGTCGTGAGTAGTAATGTTCTAAACTTTAATAGATTTTCTTCGTTTACCAGATTAAGAAGAGTAGTTACCTGGGTGATACGGTTTTTCTACTATTGCCGGAGAAGAATCGGTTCATCGCAGACCAATGGGTTGAAAGCAGCGGAGCTTGCAGAAGCGGATCATTTACTATGTCGCCTAGTGCAACGAGAATCCTACGCCAGTGAGCTGAAGCAGATCGAGAGCGGAAATTCTCTGCCCTCCGATAACCGTTTGTGCACATTGTCTCCTTTCATTGATGACAGAGGAATTCTCCGAGTATACAGTCGCCTTGACGCCGTCAGTTGGTTGTCGTTGCGCATGCGCACATCATGATGATTCACCAAAATATCGAAGCAACAATTTGTGAAGTTCGAAAAAAGTACTGGGTTCCTAACTTAAGAAGAGTTCTGCGTGGAATTATCGCGAAACCTGCTCCGCCAATGATGGGTTTATTGCCTGAAGACCGGATCACACCCTACGTTCGACCCTTCACGTTTACGGGCTTGGACTATTTTGGCCCTGTTAGTATAACGATCGGACGTCGAACCGAGAAGCGGTGGGTGGCGCTGTTCACGTGCCTGTCAATACGCGCTATTCACCTCGAAGTCGCATATGACCTTTCAACAGATGCTTGCATTTTAGCTATGCGTAATTTTATGAATCGCAGGGATGTCCCAAAAAGAATTCGTACGGACAATGGCAAGAACTTCGTGGGAGTAGCAGGCGAAGTTGCGCGCTTTGTAGATGTGTTTGACTGCCAGTCGCTGCAAGCGGAATTGTCCACTAAAGGGGTAGAATGGGTCTTTAATTGCCCGGAAAACCCATCAGAAGGCGGAGTCTGGGAGCGAATGGTGCAATGCGTCAAGAAGGTCTTGCGGCCTACATTGAAAGATCTTGCACCGAAGGAGCATACATTCCAAAGCTTGCTCATCGAAGCACAAAACGTGGTGAACTCGCGTCCGCTAACGCACTTACCTATCACACCAGAGCAAGAAGAACCGCTGACGCCAAATCATTTCTTGCTTGGTTGTGCTAACACGAGTTGCGTGGAACCACCCGAATAGCTAGACAACTTCGAGATCGGTTTTGGAAAAGATGAGTTGACGAATATTTACCTACACTAACGCGACGTACGAAGTGGTGCATGCCAACGGAGATTGGCGCTTTGGTGTTTATCTGTGATCCTAAACTACCAAGACGAGAATGGCGGCGTGGTCGAGTGTTGCGAGTATTTCCAGGCAAGGACGGCGAGATTCGTCGAGCAGAGGTGACTACGGCAACTGGTCTAGCTTATCGACCAGTATCCAAGTTGGCGGTCCTAGATCTGGTTGATGGTGAATCTGTTTCGATTCACGGGGGTGGGGGTGTTGTAAATTAAATGTTTTATGTTTCTTTTATTTACGTTTCATCATTTCCTGTAATAGATTTAAGAAATATTTGTTAGCTGTTAACCCTACGTCTTTGCAACCCTATGCTTGACGTTTTACTCTCGCCGTTGTTTGCTGGAGCCGTTAGTTCGTTGCTATAAGTCTATAAATTAGCTCATCTCTAAAAACGGGAAACATTCTACAATTTTCTTAAGCGGCGCAAGCATATGGAGCACAAACTGAGAAATAAACGTTTGTAATAAATTCATATCATTCGATTGAAATAAATAGTTTAAATTTCTAGCTTCCTTTCAAATACTGCGTCGCGACAACCTATTATTAATTTTATTATTATAATATCTAATATAATAATAATATTATATAATAATATAATAATAGTATTATAATATTGTTATTTTTATTACTACTTTAATTACTATTATTATTATCTATATATATAATAAAATTGTAACAGGTCGATGTCTGTACATTATAGATATTAAAGAAAAATTAATGTGGAGGGTCTTTTTTAGAGCACCAGAACCCAAATCAACCATTTTTAGAATTTTTGTCTGTCTGTCTGTCTGTCTGTCTGTATGTTTGTTCGCGCATCACTCGAAAACGAATGCATGGATTTGAATGCAGTTTTCACCGATGTATTGCTAGAGGTCTAAATTAAAATTTAGGAAGAAAAAAA